ATGATGGCCATCATCGGTATGTTCTTCCACGGTGCGATGACTGTGTGCCTCCACGTGGGCGTACCGGGAAGCTGCTTGCAGTCGGTTTCAGGGTGCACCAGCTGTTTCGCGGGGTGACTGGTGCATCCTCCCTTGATGGGTCAAAATCATACCCCGATCGCTGGAGTAGCGAGGCGATGCTTCAACCGCAGACCAATGTGGAGAATCTTTCCTTGGAGTCTTTCTGCGGCCGAAGGAGTGGCGTAGGCGGCAGCACAGGCCAGCCTACACAATCCCTGAGAACCAAATTAGTTTTGCCACCATGAGCGTGCAGTCATTGAGGCTTGATCTGATTGCACATCGCGACAAGTTGAGAGATCTCATTTTGCGATTGCGTGAATTCAAGATACATCTATGCTGTCTTCAAGAGATGCACAGTTTTAGTTCGGAAACCTTGGTCGATTATGTCGAAGAGTACTGCTTTGTTGCTCGTGGTCGCGTGGCTGTAGTCCTTATCAATGGTCTGGCGCAGGCCTGGGAACAGGCGGGTCGGCAATTGCTGTTTAGACGGGCCGAGGATTCGGATTGCATCTTGACGGTCATTTTTCCATACCGCGAGCAACGACTTTCTGTTACTGCAGTTTACATCCCACATAGCAACCGTGTGGGAGACAAAAGAGCGCAGTATACACAATGCCAAATTCAACACCGCGAGCTTTCTCAGCGGCAATGCACACAACTATGGGGAGGGGATTGGAATGGTCATGTGGCCAAGGGAGACGGACCTTCGCCTCACTGTGGTTCTCACGGGCTTGCGCAACCGCCCACTACGACCGGTGGCAAACTTTTTCTTGAATGGTTGGTCACTACACAATTGACAGTTGCTGACACAAAGGCGCCGGTGGCTTCACGAGGTACGTGATTGCACACAGCAACCAAAGTTTGGTACGAGATTGATTGGCTCTTGATTGATCAGTCCAGGGCACATCAGGTGCAACCCAGAATCCGCAGCGTGCCCGGCATTGCGGATCATCGCATGAAGATAATGGGCGTTCAATTGGGCGATCTTTTCAAGCATCAGGCCCGCAAGACACGGGCAAAATTCTGGAAAGATAGACTTCGACCCAGATCTGTTGAACAAAACTGTGCATGGAGTCTTTTCGAGGCTCGTCACAACAAGCTCAGGCAGTTCGTGAGCAGTTCGGCAACAAAGTCGAGGAAGTTCTTGAGTCCTTTGATGTTCCCGCACCTCCTGTTTCGCATGTCATCATTCAGCCTGGTGCGGCCGTTGAGGGCTGGGGCGAGCAGAACCCAGCCACAGCGCACTTCTACACGGATGGTAGTTACACACCACCCACCGAACATGCAGCTGCTAAATGTGGAGCGGGTGTTCACATGTGGCTGAATCTAGGCTCCTACGACGCCTCTAGCCAAGTTACAGAAGCAGATTCCTCGTAGCAACTGTCCAACAATGTGGCCGAGCTTTATGTCATTTTGCTTGTTTTGCAATGGTTACAGAGACACAGTCATATTGTACGTACTGCGGTGATACATGACGACAGTGAACATGGCATGCATGTTTCTACTGGTCACTGGAGGGCCCTGAAGAATGTCACTTTGGTGGGTCGCATCAAAGATCTGCTCAAAGCCTTGGGTACTTCGGTTACAGTGCAATGGCGTTGGATCAGAGGTCACTCCTCTCATCCAGGCAAGAGAGAGCAGATGCACTGGCTGCTCGGGGCACCGAAGGTTTAACAAAACTTCTTCCAGTTTTCACAGCCACGCCTGTCGGGCCTCGCCGGCAGCGTTTAGTTGGTAAGACCGCGTGTGTCTCTTCCACTCCTGCGCCAGATGTGAATGCTAGTGCTGTACATGATCTGCCGCCGCCTGCGGTCTCGTGGGATGCTCTGTCTCAGCTGTTGGTGAATGTGGCCTCTTCGCTCATTGGCACTCGGAGTAGCAGCAGCCTCTGGACGCCTTACACGCAAGAGGACAGGGTAAAACTCGACTTCATGCAAACACAGGTGGCTGCCACTTACGCTCAGCTTTCGGCTGCTCTTTCAGTGGAAGAGCGTGTTGAGCCCGCAAAACATCACAGGACTGCCAAGAAGGCCAAACAGGTCTTTCAGGGACAGTGTCGCTGTGGGTGGTTGCAGGACATCGTCAAAGAACTTGAGAGTTGTTCCGACTCGGCCAACTGGGGCAGGTTTTACTACTTACTTCGCAGGCTGGGGGTCGTTGTCAAGGGCACCACAGCAGAAGGACGAGCGGACTTTTCTCCTGAGCAGCTTCGACAACATGCACTGAAAATCGGCGAGCAGCTTGAGGCAAACGTGGATACGGACATGCTCTTGGAACAAATCCCACAACGTCCTGTCCAGGCATCCCTTGGGTTGCCACCTTCGGACGAAGAGGTGCACGCCGCGCTTTACAGTCTCAGGGAAAGTGCCCCTGGTCCAGACCAGGTCACTATCCTCATGATTCGCTCTGCAGGCCCACGTGCTAAGTGGCAGACCCTTCTTCTCATACACCAGCTCTGGACTACGCCGCCCGAGCAATGGGAAGCCTGTGTTAAAAAGGTTGTGGGCATACCGCTGTTCAAAGGTGGTGATGGGTGCAGACAGAATTTGGGACGATTATCGCTATATTATGCTCATCGGCATCTTGTCGCGGGCCATAGGCAAAATCATTTCAACTCGACTGCAGAATTTTGCTGAGCAGAACGACCTTTACGGTGATTGGCAATATGGCTTCCGACGTGGCCGTTCGGTCATTGATGTTTTGCTGCTAGTCCGAACCGTGACTGAGTTGGCATCAGCGGTTCCTCAGGCAGATGCGCATCGATATGAAGAACAATACAAGACTTTAGTGCTAATTCTTTTTGACATACAGAAAGCCTACAACAAAGTCCAACGTGGTGCAGCCTGGACGGCGTTTTGGCGATTGGGTATCCCAAACAGTCTGTTGGAAGTTTTGTCTGCTTTACATGACTTTTCAGAGTATCGCATGAAGACAAAGGGTGGAGACAGCGAGGTTTTCCGCGTGCCTCTTGGTTTCAGGGAAGGTTGTTGTTCGTCGCCTGCTCTTTACAATCTGTGGCACTGTTTAGCTATGCAACATTACAGACGTTTGGAGGAAGAAGTGTTTACTTCTCACGAATTGCAATCTCTCCAGCTGCAGGGCTTTACTGGCCGTCCTTTTCACAAGCGTATTCGTGCACAACCTCGGCGGCAAGATGTTGTGACAAGACGGTTGGGAGGCATCACGTTTGCTGATGATACTTCACGTTGCTGCCGTTACAACACCTGGCAACGACAGGAGCGGCTTTTGCGAGACACTCTGTCTTGTTGGGGGAGACGATCAAGGACCGCAAAACCAAGCGACTCCTACTGGGCCCTCCGCCACAGACCTGGAGAAACAACATTTCGTGACGGAGGCCAGACTGCTTGGCGGATGGTTCCAAGAAAATGGGCGCTATGACAAGGATGACTCTCACCGCCTAAATCGGGCGAAGTCTATCTGGAGGGCTCTTCGCATGCAACTTCCTAGATTCGGCCTGTCGCGTCAGCTACGAGGCCGTCTGATAGCAGCATCTGTCATACGGAGCCTCTTGTTTGGAGTGCAATGCAGAGAAGTATCCGGAGTTACATTGCGGAAGTGGCAGTCTTGGCTAAGTGGAGTTGCCAGGGATGCCACAAACACACGCCTTTCTCACATGCACGAGGAGCAATTGACGCAGCGTGATCTCAACAAGTCTTTGGGATGGTGGCCGCTAAGTGTTTACATAGGGCAAGCACAATTGCTCTATTTGGGACATGTTGCTAGGTTGCCTGTGACAAGACCTGAACGGATTGCTCTTTTCGGATGGCTCACTGTTGAAATGCGCTACAATACCAACAAACGAGGCAGCAAATCCCGAAGGAAGCTCTGGAAGAGACTCTTGGAACTCCTTGCTTTGGCAGACATCCCAGCGACAGAAGCAGAGTCTGCTTGGGAGGCATTGGCCCATGAAGATGGTGGCTCAAAATGGAATTTGCTTGTCAAGAAGTGGTGCAAGAAACAAGCTTCGCTGGCTGACGAGGACACTTGGCTGGCCAGACACAAAGACGCAGCGGCCAGAGGACGCACAGAAGCAGCTGAAGCACGTGTTCGGCAGGACCTGGGAGCGCGACCAGTAGGCGGCGGCAAGTACGCATGCCCTCACCCTCACTGTTTGGATCCTCCGGTTATGCAATTTCCGCGTTCCTTGCGCGGGCATATTGATATCTGCAAAGATCTCCCTCATGAGGTGCGTCATGGTGCGTCTTCGGCAAGCAGAACAACGTGCTACCAAGACTGGACGACAGTTCAAGACACATTTAGTGATGAGCGCACCGTCTTCTGACTCTGCTGGCACGGCCCATGTGCAGCCACCAGACTCTGGTGCAGGCTCTTCGGCTGACCCGCCTGCGGCACCTACAGCTTCTGTCCGTGACAATACGTTGTCGCCTACTAGAAGACGCATTGCTGTAAAACAAGCCCGTCCGCTAGCTTTCGTACAGGAGGTCGAGCGAAGCATTGCTCCATGTGGTGACTGGGATCTAGGCTACCTCCGAAGCTGTAGAGACAAGTATGCTGTGCGAAATCCCAAGCGGCAAATGTCCTTGACAGACCTTCCGTATCCTCCAAGAGATTGGGGCACTGATTTGACTTGTTGGTGGTGCAGCAAGGTTTTTTCCAACAACACAGCTCTACTACATGATGTCCGTGCTTGCCCAAGCATGCCTTTTTCTTTATGGCTTCGACGCATTCGTGTCACACAAGTTAGCGCTCGACATTCACAGTACACATGCTGTCATTGCGGAACGCCTTTTTTCATGCCGAAAGCACGAGGCAGACACAGTGTTGCTTGTGCATCCAGGAGAACTGCTGAGGGCTTGCCACTGAATCAGGAGCGGTACATCGAAGACAGTTTGCTCGAGCGCCCTCCAGCTGCAGAGTAGACCAAGATGCCGACGCCTCAGGAACTCCTTAAGAAGGCGGAGGAGCTGAGACAGAGCGGCTCTTCTACGCCTGCCGGCAGGGCAGGTGGACCAACGGCCAAGTTCACTCGCACCCAGGTCCTGGCCGGCCAGGAAGGAGCCTTTGAGAGACTCTTGCGCTTTTCTCTTTACAACCAGAACTCCATTGAGAACTTGCAATGCGGCTCGAATGTGGTGATCATTTTGCAAAATGATTCCCTGAAGACGGCAATGCAAGAGCAGCTAAAGTTCTACGAGGAGGCCAGACCAACGGTCTCGCAGGATGATGGCATGAAGGGAGTCTTCAAGCCGCACCCCTTGGGAGAGAGGAAAGTCTACCTGCTGGTAGCGTTGCTTGAGGCATTGGACAAGGTGGGGCAGCTCAAGAACACTAAGTACTTGGAGACGTTCGCCAAGCTGGCTAGCACGGACACGGAGGTGCTGGATTTCTCTGTTGGCATGTTTGCGCCCCGTTTTCCTACACCAAAGGAAGGCCGTCCATGGGTCTTTGAATTGGTAGTGGGGGCGCTAGCCACGGAAGAGTTCAGGAGCACTTTGCGCGAGCTCGTGGCTATCTCCACCCAGTTTTCCGAAAAAATTGTGCGCATCGAGCTGGCTCGTAAAGGACAGACGGAGTTGAAGAAGGCCTTGTGGGATGACTTGCGGGCCATCCAAGGGGCAGGCCGGCAGTGACGAGACCTTGGTTTCCGAGTTTTTTGCGGCTTGATATCTGCTTATTCCTCTCTCCATGAGTTTCCGGGAGTTTTTTCCAGCTGTATATCAACATGGATCTCCTTTCTTTTCTTCGTGACAGCAGCGAGTTTTTTCTATGCCTTTACATGGAGGAATGCAATCTCTCATGAGTGGTGTTCTGACAACGGAGGGCAGATGCATGCTTTCCAGCCGAAGCGCAACATGGATCTTCATTTTACCTCCTTTTTGCTGGTACAGCGAGTTTTCTCTGCTTTCTTCAATGAAGGAATACGATCTCTCATGAGTGGTGTTCTGACAACGGAGGGGCAGCAGCATGCGGATGCATAGTGCAAGCGATTCATGGTGGATTCTTTGCAGTAGTACTTTGCTCACGACAATTTTCTTCAGCAGAACAGCTTTGCTTGCAGTACAGTCACATCTTCGTGTCGATTTGAGTGTCATCCTCTGTCGCAAGCAGTTCGTACAGGATACTGAAATCCGTCCAGGCAGAGCTTTCTACGCGTTTTCTTGGACCTCTCGCCACTTTCGGAGGGGCAACCAGCTGTGGATAGTCAGCGTCTGCAGCTGGCACGGGGCGTCCACACTCCGGTTGTGAGACGTCCGCGCTTTGTCTCATCCTTCGTCATCTCTACGCAAAGGAGCTCACATGGGCTATGACAACCTCTTCTGCGTATGTTCTTCCAGGTGGGACATCTTTGTACAATGCTGTTTCTTGTGCATTTTTTAAAAAGCTAGGTAGGTAGGTAGATAGGTAGGTAGGTAGGTAAATGGAGGGATGGATGGATGGATAGATAGCCAGGTAGATAGTTAGGTAGATCAATAGTTAGGTAGAGAGATAGATAGATAGGTAAATGGATAGATAGATCCGCTCATATTTTTCTTCTCTTTCTCACATGCGGTTCATGCTTTCTCTTCACTCAATTATAACCGCATGTGGGAAGAAGGGAAGAGCAGTGAATCGTTCATTTTTCTTGTCTTTCATTTACACAAAGCATGCTTCCATTCCTCATTTCATTATCTTTGTTGAAATGAAGAGAAATGAACACTCACTTCACATTATAACCCTCACAGTTAGGTGAAAGGAAGCGAAGCGAACCCAAAAGACTCAAATTAATTGAAACAAGTGAGTGAACGCAGCCCGTGTTCATTTCGTTTACTTGTGTTCTTTTGGCCTTTTGTTTACCCCTTTTGCTTCTTTCAT